TTGTAGTATATAAACCAGAAACCATTTGAAGTGTGTTTATGAAAACAGTTGCAATAGACCTAACATATTTACAAATTGAAGTAAAGCTTATAATTAAGAATGTTATAGGGCTGGGGAGAGAGTTCAGTGGGCTAAGTCTGGCAAGTACAAGGACCTAGGTTTGATCCCTGGTGCCACATGACTTGCTGGCCCTGGAACCTAGATGCATCTTGCCTGCCACACACCTGTAATCCTAGCGCTGGGGAGGCTGAGACAGGAGGATCACTAGAAGTCCAAGCTGCATAGTAAGACCCTGTACCAAATACATAAAATATTTTTTTTAAATTTAAGAATATTATAATCCTTATAAAGTAGGCAGAACTATTACTGATTTAATTTCTGTCCACTTATGTTTATAAATTTTATGTATCTACTATGACAAATTGGCAAAAGGAGCGTTTCCAAGTATTACGTAATCTCATTGTTATTTTATAGATTATCAAATTATACTGCTTGGTGGTTTAATAAAATAATCCAGCTGTGTAAATTAAGGTGTGCATAATGAAAACTCCATCTTGATGTTTCCATGTCCTTTTTTAAAAGGTAAAATGATTAGGTTTGTAAGTTTTCTGTGAACACTGGCCACTTTTTTTGTTTGTTTTGGTTTTGGGATACCAGGAATCAAACTCAAGAGGGCTTTGCCCCCTGGGCTACATCCCCGGCCCCTCAGACTACCTTTTAGATTAAATAATATAAGGATCTTAAAGAAAACTAATGACTTGGTCTCACAGAAATTTAAATTCTGTTGGAAAAATAAGGCACCAATATATGCAAGTTTAATTTCAACACATAATCCCAGGTAATATTTTCTTCTATACTGAGGGTAGAAAATACAAAGATCTGAACCGAAGTAACTAATACTGATACTGAAAGAGAGAACAGGTTAATTCCATGGTATGAGAGATGTCCAATTGAAAAAAGAAAAGTGCGTGGTATAAGGTCACTCACACAGATTGTACACTACTGGGCAGCCATCTCCTCCCTGACTGCTGCAAGAGCACCTACTCCTGGGCCCTCCCTGCTCTAGCAACCCCTTCAGGCAGTGGGAAGCATTTTGCTTCGGAAGTTCCTCACTGCAACAATTCTACATTCTATTGATTTTCATCGGTGTGACAGAAAAATTTCTGCTTGTGTAGCTATACTCTGTGAGAAAATATGCTTTATGTAACTCTGTAGCACTCTGGAAAATACCAACTTATATTCTGAAACTATTTCCTATGGAGCAGCACATAGTGGTTCCATGTTTGTAGAGTGGGTCTAGAAAATACTGGATTACAATCTCAGTTCTGTGGATCACACTTAGGTCCTCTTGCATGGACGGCAAGCACTCTACCACTGAGCTATCCCCTCTTTTTTAAAATATCTACTTTGAGACAGGGTCTCGCTAAGTTCCATAGGCTAGCTTCAAACTTTTGATCCTCTTATCCCCGCCTCCTGAGTAGCTGGGATAACAGACATGAGCCACCATTTCTGGTTCAACTCTACTTCCTAATGGGAATATACAGATCATGCAAATTACCCACTGTCTTATTTTGCTTATTGACCAAAAAGATAAGGCTATCCCATAGAGTTACACTTAAAAGGTGCAGATCATGTGTCATGTAAGCCCTTTTCAGATGTGAATGAGGATGATTCAGTAATCATAGAAAGTGATGAGTTTTTGCAGAGGGGAGTAAAATACTAAAAATACTTGTAAAGTTTAATGTGATGTCTTTCAGCAGGACAATGACAGCAAGGAAAGACTGGAGAAATGGATATCAGGAAAAAATTTGATACACTACATCTGAGGTTATACAGGGTAGGATTAATTATATAGTGGAATGGATAGATGTAAAGAAATTTTGGATAGTTGACCAGTCTTGACTGATTTGTTATGGTTTAATTTTGAAGAGAAGAGGAAGAGAAGGAAAGGCACAGAAAATTATGGTACCATTAGATTTTCAGGGGGGGAGGAGGGCCTGGGAATCTAACTCAGGACCTTGCACTTGCCAGGCAGACATTTGTGCCACTGAGCTACATTGCCAGCCCTATGGTACCATTAAGTACACTTAGTAAATTGTCCTAGCTGGGTCCTAATAGTGACACATTAGGCGAACATGAACCAAACCTGAATTAACATCTCAGCTTGGTGTCATCTGATTATAACTCTAAAAATTCCATTGTGATACATGAGTGAAAGTTTACATTCATCATTCAGAATATGAACCCTAAACTGCATGACAGAAACTGGTATGGCCTTTAGTTATATGTTTTCTCTATGGCCCACTTTCTACATGATGTACTAATTCTTTTAGATCACTTCCAAGGAAAGTAACCTCAAATATTCTCTATCTGTCTTGCCTGTTGCAGTTGGCTGCTGGCCTTCTGAGGCTTGGTTGGTTGTCTGGGATCTGGGAAGGGAGTGCTAATGTTTACCGCAGAGGAGAAAAGTGGTGGCAGACATGCAGTTACATGTCATTCTTTGTCATCAACACTGAATGCTAACAGCACTAATTCACTTTCTACATTACTTAGACATGAATGAATGAGTGAATGAATGAATGAGTGAATGCATGCAGCACTTCTAATTATATGCACAATTTTGGAGCTGCTTAGCCAGTGGAAGTAATGTATCTTCAGTGTACTGGCAGCCATATCACAGCCGATCCTGTTATTAGTTTGCTTAGTTAATATCCCCTAAAAAATATACACTAAAATGTTAAATCTTCAGTAGCTTTGTTCACTTTTATATAATTTTTAGAAAAAAGGGCTGGGGCGATAGCTCGTAGAATAAGCGCTTCCCTGGCAAGCGTAAGGGCCTGAGTACAATCCCCAGTTTGCCCCCCCCCCAAAAAAAGCTCAAGTTAATTCACATTTTCTAATCATTTAAAACATTTCAAAGTTATAAACCATTTTATTCATTATTTGACTAAAAGTTTTTGTTTGGTTGGTTCTGTTTTCCTTTTTTTAGCACACATTCTTATTCCCAGAGTGTGCTATCTGCCCATTGTTTTGTCTTCTCTATAGAAAACCTATGGTTAATAATTGTGGTTATGCATACAATCTTTGAAATTAAAAATGCATTGTTTTTTCATTACAAGTAGAAATTAAAAATGCATTGTTCTTTTCATTTGTCTACAAAAGACAAGATGTTTTAGTATCAATACATAATAGTTAATGCTCAGCGAGAGTGCTGACTTTTAACAATATCTTCAAGAAGAAAAAGGGCCAGCTAGATAGCTCAGTGGTCTAAAGTGCCTGCTTAGGCAAGCTTAGGCAGACATGCAGGGACTGTGGTTTGATACTGGGCCCCACATGCTGAGCCAGCCCTGCCCCCAGGGCGGGCTGAGCCAGCCACACACACACA